CTTGGGGCCCCGCATGCCCAGCTCGGCCGCCAGCTCGGCCGGCTGCCGGGACAGCGCCTGCAGCTCCTTCTCGTTGAAGCGCATGGCGCCGCTGGGACCCAGGACGCGGAGCCCAGGCTGCGCCCTCTCGGCCGCCGTCCCCGCTCGCGCCAGAAAAGTCCCACGGCGCCGTCCCGGAAGCGCTCCCGGAGCTACTGCGTCTGCGCGCCCCCGGGCCGCTTATCCTGTCAATCATCGGTGCGTGGCGCTGACGTCACCCGGGCCGCCGCGGCCGAGCGAAGCCGTCGTGGGCCGCACGGGATAGTGGGTGAGACGCACCGCCGTTATATATAACCATGAAGTAAGCTAGGCCCGCGTGGCAACAGAATAAAGCACCCCCACGACCGCTGGCGCCCTTTAGTGAAGCGAACAGGAGAAGGCAGATGTTGGGCGAGTCGCAGCCCTTCCTCCCGCGATAACTGGCCTCGCGGGAATTAGAGGCGACCCAAAGGTCGTCGAGAGCCTGGTGCGCACGCGCACTTCGGGAACCGGCCCGCACTCTCAGCCCCGCCCTTTTCCCCTCGCGCCTCCAGAGCGTCCCGCCCACGTCGCCGGCGGATCGGGCATGCGCACACGGGAGGCCCTGCTCCGTTTGCCCCCGGAAGTGCTTCCTTAGCCCGCGGCGCGCGTGTGCAGGACGAAGTCGTGGCGGCCCCCGCGGCGGCTGGAAAGACAACGGTATGTCGTTGTCGGGTGCGGGTAAGGAGCGGCGCGGGGCGAGGGCGGCGGCCCCGGGGCCCGGGGTTCCCTGGAGGGGAGCGGACGTGGGCGAGGGGCGCCTGCGGCGGGGGGCGCGGGCTGAGGGCCGAGCGGCCGCGGCGGCCCGTGCCCGGGGATGTGGGGCCTCAGCGTCCCGGGCGCCCCCTGCCCGTCGGAGCTCTCCCTCCAGAGGCCCGTGGGGATCGGGTCGGGTCGGGGGCGCTGCCGCAGGGCTGGGGCTCCTTCCGTGGACCGAGGACGCCTCTGAGCGCTCATTTGCGTGCTGGTGGACTGGCTCTGCGGTGCGGGGTCCCTCGGCCCCTGGGAGCCCCAGTTCCCGTAACTGTGGGATCGGGGGCGCGGCGGTCCCCGCTCCACGCCAGCTGAGGAATAAGCGAGGTTTGGGGGCAGAGTGCCCAGCCCCGCGTCAGGGGCGACCGGAGACCGTGAGCCCGCCCCGTTTGGCGAGCGAAGCCCGAGCTTAAATGACTCGGATGCCCGCTTCCCCCTTCTTCCTTTTGGCCGCGCAGAACCCCCGAGAGGAGCCGCCGAAAGTGTTCTGTTGGGCAGGTTTACGGGGATAGTAGCGTGCTCACCAAGAACTGTCATTCATCCCGGTTCCCTGGTCCCTCCCCAGAGGCCACGCCTCTAGAATTCTGGATGCTTGGCCTTAATCTTTGTACAAAACTTAATTTTTTCTGAGTGTGTCGGTTTTAGACGTGACCTGCTGACTTCCTACCGTGATTGATGAGGTTATTTCTGCCTCCCACCCACTCGCTCCAACGTCGCCTTCCATCCCTTGAACGTGTTTATAGAGCCTGAGCTTTAGTGAAATCATTAGTCCTGTTGTTTTTTTTTTTTAAAGATTTTTTATTTATTCAGTTTTTTCCCCCCAAAGCCCCAGTAGATAGTTGTATGTCATAGGTTCACATCCTTCCAGTTGCTGTACGTGGGACTCGGCCTCGCGTTGGACGGAGAAGTGATGCCTTGGGGCGCCCCCGGGATCCGAACCCAGGCCGCCAGCATCAGAGTGCGCGCACTTAACCGCTAAGCCACGGAGCCGGCCCTAGTCCTGTTTTTTAAAAGCGAAAATATTAAGATGTTCATCTGTGTCATTTTCCTTGTTCTGTTTTCCCCCAAAAACTCATTAATTTTTTAATAATTTTTCTTTCAAAACTCCAACACCGCACACACGTATTTTTGCGCAGTTGTAAAGAGCATGTCTTGGTAGCTTTTAAGAAATCCGTTGATTGATTTGAGTTCTTGGTTATCTGAAAATGGCTTTATTTATTCTCAGAGTTAGAAGTTTGGGTATAAAATTCTAGATTGAAAATCGTGTCGAGAATTGTTGAAAGCGTTGCCTGCCTTACTGAGAGGTCTGGTCCCATTCTGGCTTCTGAGCTGTTATTTCTAGTTTTGTTTCTGTGTAGTAGAAACTTAATGGTTTTCCTTGGTGTTGTGAAGTTTCCTGATCTGTTTATTGACGGTCTGTTTATTTGTTGACCTCGGTAGGTCTGTTTTCTTGGAAGAATTAGGTCCTTTCAGTCCTGGATTTTTTCGTTTCTTTGAACACGTTCTCATGTTGTTTGTGTGATAACACTCTCCATGCTTCTTTCTGTTCTCCTTCTGGAATTTCATCTAGGTTCTTGTTCTGCCTCCTGTTTTTTCATTATTTGGTTCTCCCTTAGGAAATATTTTTTTAATTCTTATCTCTGAGCCCCGTATTCCATTTTTTGGGGGGATCATCCGGTCTTTACTGTCCAAGGATTCATTCTGGTTTTGCTTCACCTTGCTAACCTTTGGCATCCTGTTCTAGGGTCACGGTGCAGTAGATAACTTCCCGGACAGTTCAGGAGAACGTTAACCTTTCCTATTGAGATTTCATCAGGTGTCTGCTTTCTTGGAGACACAGCGATCCTTCGTGTCTGTATGTCAAGTTGCCCACTCTGCGGGTAGAGCCCAGTTTCTCACCTAGGGAGTCTCCCTGCTCCGTGGGCCCGGTGGGGAGCTGGTGTTTTCTTTGGGGCGTGGGGGACCCCAGCTGTCAGTGTCTGAGAATGCTTTCTCTGGCACTCTTTCCCCAGAAGAGACTCCTGCTGTCCCCTGGGCTGGGGGCTCCGGGCTGGGCCTCCCGCTGTCTGGACCTGGTGTGGGGGAGCTGCTGTTCCGTGGGCGGGTTTTGATGGAATCCCCTCTTTTCAGCCTGGCGCTCCCCCAGCTCTCTTGTCCCACTGTGTCCACATCTCTAAGCCAGGAGGCCCTTCATTCCAATTCTTCTAAGAATAAAACTGCCCTGCCCAGGGAGTCGAGGGTGCCTGGGTCTGTGACCTTTCTCTCATGGCAGAGGCTCTCATTTCAGTTGGGGGGGGTGCGGGGGGTGGGGGGTAGCGTGTGTTCAGGGAGCTGTGAGTAACCAGCACTTTCAGTGTCCGATGGTTACTGGTTTTCACTCTCATTTGGTGAGCGGTTACAGATTTGTTTGGGTTTCCTGAGCCCATCAGCTTCTCGCAGCAGGTGCTTTCTGCGACCCCTGACCCCCATGCACATTTCCCGGCCAGCCTCCGGGACTGAGGAGCCCAGTCTGGCCGCTTAGGAAGGAGTTGGGCTCATCCTCAAACGGATCAGAGCTGTTGGCTTGGTTAACCTTGTTGCCTTCCAACCGACTTTTCCAGCTCCTCCCAGCCATTGTTCCAGGAGAATGTTCTGAAGGTGTCACTAATGCATGACAGGAACAGGACATCAGCAGACAGGTGGCTCTCTGTCCTGGCCCCCGCAGTGGTGCCGCAGGTCCCTCTGAGCTCCTGCCCTCGTTCCGAGAACACTGGTTGTCGTTGGTTGGTTGGTGTGATGACAGCCGTCCTGACCGTGTAGGGTGGTGTCTCACTGCGGTTTTCACTCGCGTTGCCCTGATGGTTCGTGACGTTGGGCACCTTTCCTGTACCTGCCAGCTGGCTGCTGAGTTAGTCAGAGCACACTCCCAGCCTCAGAGGCCCCCGTCCTCAGAGTTTGGGGAAGCGCCGTCCTCTCCCGGCCCTGGGAATCTCTGCAGGGGAGGCCTGCAAGTCACTCACCGGAGGGAGCCGGCTCCGGGCCCCCGGATTCACGCTCTGGGTAGAGGCTAGAGGGCAGGTAGTGCCCCTCGGCTCTCACATGCACTCCCCCTGTGCCAGCTTCCCGTCCCGAGGCCAGCAGGGAGGGTGGGGTTTTGCCCCTTGGGGGTGGGCAGTGCTCAGCCCGTGAGCCGCTGGACAGACGGCAGGGCCTCCCTTGAGGGGCCTGCACTCGGATCTGGCCACAGAATCACTGAGTTCAGGGCCAACTGGCTGGCAGCCCCTGTAGGTGACGGGTGCGGGCTCCCTGGGCTCATCGATATGGCCAGGCAGGAGGTTCCTCTGGGCCGTGCTTGCGTTCTGGCGCAGGGCTGTGCTGGTATCGTGTCCTCCTTTTTCCATGTTGAAATGTTGTTTATGAGATGAGGCTGATGGTTGAGAGGGGTTGTCTCTCACGCTTTGCCTGACAAGATTTAATGATTGGCAGCTCTGAATGGACTTGAGTGAAGTCAGAAGTCTCACTCTTTGGTGGGGTGACCCCATGATTCTGCAGCCAGCTAGATGGTCGCTTCGCTGGTTCCCACACGTGCGATTTTCATAAGCTTGTCAAAGGAATAAGAACTGGGCCAGGGAGGGGTCTAGGCCCCCGTAGAGTTGGGGGCGACTGAGGTCATTGGCACAGCTGGCCTGTACCCTGTGTGTTAGATTCCTGTGGCTGCTGTAGCAAATCACCACAAACTTAGTAGTTTCAAACCACACACATGTATCATCTCACGTTCTGGGGCCAGAAATTCTGAATCCAGGTTCAGGGAGGGCTGTCTTCCCTGAGGCTCCAGGGAGAACCGTCTCCTGCCTTTTCCAGCTTCTAGAGGCCGTGTCCTGGGCTCGGGGCCCCTTCCTCCGTCTGCACAGCCCGCAGCGCAGCATCTCCCATCTCTCTCTGCCTCTGACCCTCCTCCTCCCTCTGATGAGGACTCTGTGATGACACTGGGCCTCCGGGGATCCAGGGTCATCCCTCATCTCAGGGGCCTCAAGTTAATGCATCTGCAAAGTTCCTCTGCCACGTGAGGTGACACGTCCACAGGTCCTGGGACCAGGACGGGGACATCTTTGGGGGGTTGTGTTCACTCCTGGGCCCTGTCCCTGTGAGTCCACCCCAGCAGAGACAGGATCCTGTGAGTTTAGCCCAGGTGCCCGGGCTGACATTGCCCAGCAGGAAGGAGAGTGCTGGGAATCAGAGGAAGGGGCCTGCACGCTGGGTTTGGGCTGAGCCTGGGAGAATCTGGGACCCCCAGGGGCAGGGCTGGTGGGTGAGGGCACGGAAGAGGGTGTGTAGGACTCAGGGGCGCCTCCTCGGCCGCAAGCGGGTCTTGAGTACCTCTCGTGCTTCGGGCAGTAGGGATGGACTAGATAGATGGGCGTCTGCCTTGCCTCCCGCAGCCTCGCAGCCCGTCCCGGGCCCCCGCAGGTTTCACCAGAGTCTGATCCAGCCCCGAGGCCTTCGCCATGGACTTCCAGCATCGTCCCGGGGGCAAGACCGGGAGTGGGGGCGTGGCCTCCTCCTCCGAGAGCAACCGAGACCGCAGGGAGCGTCTCCGGCAGCTGGCCCTGGAGACCATCGACATCAACAAGGTGGGGTCACCGTTCCGTTTCCCCAGAGGAGCCAGAGCTCGGCGGTGTGGGTTGTCAGTGCCGAAGCTGACGGGTGAGTGGGTGGTGGAGTGGGGATGTGAGCCCCGGCCCAGGAGCCCCTGCTCCGCTCACGGGACACGCAGAGACGCAGGTTTCCGTGGGCCTTCCGTCTAACTCCTCCTCCTCTGCCTGTGTCTGGCTCGTGCGGCGACCCTCAGAGCGCGGCCGTGGTTTGTGGACAGGTCCCTGGCCCGGCCTGGGAGATGGACAGCCGGCAGTGCTGTTTCGGCGATGCCTCTTTCTAGACCCAAAACGCCCATGAATGTGGGGCCAGGGACTCCGCATGGACCCCTCCCTCCCCAGGAGTTTGCTGTGGATGCAGAGGGTCACCCACGCCCTGCAGGTGGACTCGGCATTTCCAGGACCCCGGGGGTCTGCGCAGTGCTGCCTTAGGCTCCTGCCAGCCCCGGGCCGCTCCCGCTCCTCGGCCCAGTGCGGAGACCGTGCTTCTGGGACACGAGAAGGGGCAGGGCCCGGCACGCCCTCCCGCTGTCTAACGGAGCCTGCTTCCCTCCCAGGACCCTTATTTCATGAAGAACCACCTGGGCTCCTACGAGTGCAAGCTGTGCCTGACGCTCCACAACAACGAGGTGTGTGCTCAGCCGGGGGGGCTGTCCCCCCGCCTGCTCCCGCACGTCCCCTCCCTGTCCCAGACCCCCCGCCTGCTCCCGCACGTCCCCTCCCTGTCCCAGACCCCCCGCCTGCTCCTGCCTCTCAGGCAGGACTCGCTACCCCCGGCCTCGCAGCTCTTGCCTTGTTAGTTCTGGGACGTCGTTGGGAACGCGGCCGAGGACCAAGGGGCTCTGCCTGGGGCGCGGCGCTCAGAGCTGACCGCTAACTCCAGAGTGTGTGCTCAGAGGGCATCTCTAGGAGAGCCTCCTTGCTGCAGGTGAAGGCCGGGCCCCCTCTGTCCCCAGCCCCCGGACGCCCCCAGGGCTGTGGGTTTGCTGAGCGTCCTTTCAGTCCATTTTGCTGTAGTCCCTTAATGCTGTTACTACATAAATGCGTCTCTGTGAACATGGGGCACAGCCCGGAACCTTCCACTTTGGGTTCTTGAGGTCTAGTTGGTGTGGCTCTAGTTCCTATCTTGTAACGACTTTGAGGTCGTCTAAATGATTATCTGATGAATACTCGCGTGGGGTTAATTTGTTCAGTAATTTGTAGGTTTCATTTGTCCTGTTCTGTGTTGAAGGTTCAGTTTGCCTTCCAGTTTGTTCTCAGCTACAAACAGTGCTGAACTGAACAGTCTCTGCTTTCGGGGTCCTGTGTCTCCCCCTCTCCCAGCACTGCTGACATCAGGGCCGGTCAGTCTCTGTGGGGCCGTCCTCTGTGCTGTGGGTGGCTGCACAGCATCCCTGGCCCCCACCCACTGGATGCCAGGAGCGCCCCCAGTGTGACAACCACAGATGTCTCCAGACATCACCCAATGTCCCCTCAGTGATCAGAACAGCCCCCACTTGAGAACCACCAGAACATACGTTTCATCCTGCCCCCGTGGGCGAGATTCTGTGGTGTCGTTAAAATGGAGTCACACAGTCATGGCACGTGCTCACATGTGGGCTTACCAGCCATCTCCAGGTGCCGTCCACAGTCCAGCAGGTCCCCTCACTGGCTCCCGCTGCGGACAAGACTTCCCATGTCCACAGGCTCTGATACCCGACGCTTGAGACTCGTCCTGTCTGTGTAGATTGGCCAGAGCCTGTCTGTTCAGCCACGACCAGGTGCCCACGTGGCGCCCGGTCTGTGGACAGAGGCTGGCTCCTTGCTCTGTCCCCTTCAGGCACGGGGCCCTGCTCCGGGCAGACGGAGGGATTCCTGGCCCAGTGGGGGGCACCCAGGCTTCCCTCCCTCGGTCCTGAATCCTGTGTGCTTTCCCGCTGCAGGGGAGTTACCTCGCGCACACCCAGGGGAAGAAGCATCAGACCAACTTGTGAGTGTGCACACCCCTTCCCGGGGGGCCTGCGACCCTGCAACCCCAGCCAGTGTGGAGTGGGGAGTGCGAGGGGAGGGCCGGTGGACCCCACCCGTGGCTCGATGCTCTCTACCCAGGCTTTGAGCTTTTCTATAGTTGGGGAGGGTTCTGGGAAGGGCCCCCAGCAAGGGACAGTGGGCAGGGTGACAGGAAGAGAAAGATGCCTTGTCTGTCCCATCCCCCTCACCCCGAGGACGAGGACGGACGAGCTCCGGGGCGGGGCGGCTCCCCGCACCTGGGCCGTGGCCTTGGCGGCCTGTGTGGAGGCGCCACAGCCTGTGTCTGCCCCTCCTGCCCGCCCACAGGGCCCGGCGAGCAGCCAAGGAGGCCAAGGAGGCCCCCGCCCAGCCGGCGCCCGAGAAGGTCAAGGTGGAGGTGAAGAAGTTTGTGAAGATCGGCCGCCCAGGCTACAAAGGTGAGCCTGTCCGCGGGGCCCGCCCGCAGCTGGCACAGGGCGTGAACGTGCCCTTTGGCTGGGCCCCAAGACCCCGTGACCCCGTCCCTGAGCCACACAGGCCTGCTGTTCTCCGGCCCTCCCCGCCCCTCCTCCCCCATGAGGAGCACAGTGTCCCCCACACCATCGGGGTGTCGGGAGCTCGTACTCTCCTGGTGCTCCTCTCCTCTGGACTAGGAACTGGGTACCGGCTCCTCGGCCTGAACAGAAAGAGGAGGGGGCCTGGGGGTCTGGGTTAACGGCAGCTTTCTCAAGGGAACCAGCAGCAGAGAGGAGGGCTCTTGGTTCCCTGGTCCAGAGAGCGGGGTGAGCTGCCGCTGGAATGTGGGGGGCTGTTCCTGGGAGTTGAAAAGAAAGGAAAGGAAGGAAGCCACCTGGCTGGTGTCCCTGCAAAAGGTGGGGACGTCTTGTGTCTTCTTGGCATTCCAGACGGGACACAGTATGCAAAGGCCCTGGGGTAGGCTTGCTCGACGAGCCAGGGCTGGGATGGCAGAGTGGTCTCCGAGACTAGCAGGGAGGCGCTGGAGGACTTAAGGGGCAGTGTGGCATGTCCGGGGCTGAGTGAACAGCCTGGAAGCCACAGGGCTCTAGTGTGAAGGGCGCTCTCTCCCGGAAGCAGGGGTACAGGCCGTGCTTACCCGCGTGCTCGGTGCCCCCAGGCCTCGGGGGTGAGGGCAACAGAAGCCCACCCACGTGGGCTTGGGCAGGTGGCCCCACGCACCTGGGCCTTCACCTGCAGCACAGCCCTGGGGGGCTCGCTCACCCGTGGGCTCCAGTTCACTGGCCAGGTGACCTCCCCAGGCAGAGACCACCCCCAGGTCCCTTAGCTTTGGGGAGGGCAAGCGGGCCTGGCTGAGACCCTCATGTGTTGCAGTGACCAAGCAGAGGGACACGGAGATGGGCCAGCAGAGTCTCCTCTTCCAGGTGAGACGAGGCCCGGGGGCCGGGTTGGGAGGGTGGGCTCCTGGGTTCTGCCCTCAGCCCCAGAGGAGCCTTGAGACGCGCTGCTGCCCCCTGGCCGTGTCCCCGCAGATCGACTACCCCGAGGTCGCCGAGGGCATCGTGCCGCGCCACCGCTTCATGTCCGCCTACGAGCAGAGGATTGAGCCCCCAGACCGGCGCTGGCAGTACCTGCTCATGGCCGCCGAGCCCTACGAGACCATCGCCTTCAAGGTAGCGTGCTGGCTCCCCAGGTCCCTGCCCTGTGGCCTGCCGGCCGGTCCCTGTCCCTCCAGCCAGTCCCCCCCAGGGCCCCGTGAGGCGGAGGAGCAAGCCAAAGGGTCTGCTCGGTCCAGTAGGGGGCTTCCAGCCCCCTCCCGTTGGGGTCAGGGGTGTTCCTCAGCGGGCCCTTGCCTCTTGAGGGGTGGGAAGGGGCAGCGCAGCGGGGGCTAGGAGCTAGGTGTCCCGAGGTGGGTGCCCACCGAGAAGCGGAGCCCCTGCCGTGGCCCGGCAGTGAGGCCCGCTGCCGTGCTGTCCGGGGACTCCGTAACCGTCCTCGGCGCGGACAGACACGAGGAACACAGCAGCGTAAACCATGACTTCCTGGGGGGCGTGGGTTACTGAGCAGCAGAGCTGGATCGTAAGCCGAGTTTGTGACCCCAAACTAAACCCTGTCCCCTCACAAAAGGGCCTCCTCCAAGGCCGAGGGGCAGGCCCTGCCCGCGACGCTGGCACCTGGCACTCCACTGAGCTCCCGCCCCGGTGCCCGCCCTCGTGGTCCTGAAGGCCCGTCTCTGCTCCCTGTGCAGGTGCCCAGCAGGGAGATTGACAAGGCCGAGGGCAAGTTTTGGACTCACTGGAACCGGGAGACCAAGCAGGTACGTGCTCCGGGGCCTCGGTGGCTGCCCTGCTGGCCTGGCCCCCACCCCAGGCCCCTGGATCCCACTCAGCCACCTCTGTTTCCCTCCAGTTCTTCCTCCAGTTTCACTTTAAGATGGAGAAGCCACCCGCCCCGCCCAGCCTGCCCGCCGGGCCTCCTGGGGTGAAGCGGCCCCCACCCCCACTGATGAACGGCCTGCCCCCGCGGCCGCCACTGCCCGAGTCTCTGCCCCCACCTCCACCTGGAGGCCTGCCACTGCCACCCATGCCGCCCAGCGGGCCTGCCCCCTCGGGGCCCCCGGGCCCTCCCCAGCTGCCCCCTCCAGCCCCTGGGGTCCACCCCCCGGCACCCGTGGTCCACCCGCCAGCATCTGGGGTTCACCCCCCAGCTCCCGGGGTTCACCCCCCGGCACCAGTGGTCCACCCACCAGCATCTGGGGTCCACCCCCCTGCTCCTGGGGTCCATCCTCCAGCCCCAGGAGTTCATCCTCCAGCCCCAGGGGTCCACCCACCAGCCCCAGGGGTCCATCCCCCCCCATCTGCTGGGGTTCACCCTCAGGCCCCAGGGGTGCACCCACCGGCTCCTGCAGTTCACCCCCAGGCCCCGGGGGTGCACCCACCAGCTCCTGCAGTTCACCCCCAGGCCCCGGGGGTCCATCCAGCAGCTCCTGGGGTCCATCCACCAGCCCCAGGAATCCACCCCCAGCCTCCTGGGGTTCACCCTCCACCTCCTGGGGTCCACCCTTCAGCTCCTGGGGTCCATCCTCCAGCTCCTGGGGTCCACCCCCAGCCTCCTGGAGTTCACCCCTCAAATCCTGGGGTGCACCCCCCGACTCCCATGCCCCCGATGCTGAGGCCCCCACTGCCCTCCGAAGGCCCTGGGAACATTCCACCCCCTCCCCCCACCAACTGAAAAGCCACCCCATCCTGGCAAGTCTGGTTTTGTTTCCTGTATTTGCCTCCTGGAGCAAAGTTCGTGTTTCTGTACCCGGCTGAGTTGTGTCCCCAAAACTCATTAAACAGCTTCCCTGACGCCTAGAGTGGAATGTTGTGTGGTTGGGTGAGTGGGCAGGCAGGGTGGGAGGATAGTGCCCACTCACTGTTGGTGAACCCCAGGGGTGCCCCTCCACCATGTGTGGGGCTGGCTCAGGGCCAGGTGTCCCTGTGTCCCCAGCAGGACACTGGCCTGGAGGCTGCTGGGGGAGGACAGACCCCGCCAGCCAGCCGTGCCGTGGGTCTGGGGTCTGTCCTCCGGGAGGAGAGTAGAGCGAAGGCTGCCGCTCTTCTTGGGATTTCCTGCAGCCTCGTGGGCCCCAGGGTGGGGTGAGTGAGCAGGAGAGTGGGGAGCCCCAGCCTGGCCTGCCCACCTGGTGCCCCTCGGGGCCTGGCCCTGTCTGGCACCTCTGCCCTCCTCCAGGCCTGTCCCCCTGCAGCCCAGGAGCTGTTGATGGTCTGGGCCGGTCACTCCCTCTCACATTCTCACCCAGCTCCGGGGGAGATCGTCAAGGACAGTCTGACAGTCGGGTCACAGGCCACACTTCCTATCACCCGTGAGGAGATAGGCAGCTGGGCTGGGACAGAAGGGGCTTTGAGACAGCCGCCCGGCTGCCGAGGCTCCCGGCGGGCGCCAGGCATTGGCACCCAAGGTCACGTCCCAGGAGATAGGGCCACCCTCCCGCACAGACGTTCTGGGCTCATCATATAGGCCGGGCAACCCAGCCTGTCACAGAACCCAGGATGCGGGGTCTGCCTCTCTGCTGCCTGGCGCTGGTGCTGGCAGCCACGGGGGCTCTGCTGAGGGCCGGGACCCCCAGAGAACAGGTCGCCAGCACCCCAGCCCTGCCCGGGGAGCCGGCCACGGGCACTGGGGGTCTCATCTTCCGCCAGGACTGGGACTGGCCCCCCCTGGGCGTCTGGCCACCAGGCAGCCCACGGGAACCCCTGGGGTGCCTGGTGACGCTGGGCAAGGGTGGCAATGGGAGCAGCGTCCCCCTGCGGGTGGTGGGGGCCCTGAGCGGCTACGAGCAGGCCTTTCTGGAGGCCGTGCGGCGTGCCCACTGGGGCCCCCATGACCTGGCCACCTTCGGGGTCTGCTCCCCCGGCAACAGGCAGGCCACCCTGCTCCCTCTGCAGCAGCTGCAGGCATGGCTGGGGGAACCCGGGGGGCGGCGGCTGGTGGTCCTGCATCTGGAGGAAGGTATGTGGGGCCGTGGCCTGGAGCTGGGTGGGACACCGGGCTCTAGTCTCCCAAGATGGGAGATGGCCCCCCTCCTCCCAAGACAGGGCACTGCCAGAGCCCCCCCAGACCCCTCCCTGGCTTCCTGGGGGACTGGAGGCCGATGGCCTGGGAGCGGGGCGCCCTCATCTTTGTCGTGTCTGGAGCCCCAGTGCCCACTCCCAGATCCTCGCTCCTGCAGTGCTCCAGGAACCAGCCGAAGTGGGTGGGGCCCGCCCAACCCAAAGGTCCAGCGAGGGTGCCCCTCCTCCCACTGCAGGAGCCAGGCGTGAGAGTGCCTGTCCCCAGGGGCCACTGGCCTCAGAGACCCACTGCGGGGAAGGGGCTTCCCCCCGGAAATCCCCAGACCCACAGACGGGGGACAGGGGGCAGCTCCACCACCCATCCTGTCGGTCACTCCTCCCCGGCCACCCATGTCCCTGCGAGGTCCTGCCCCTGGTCAGGGGCGTCAGCCTCTACCGTGAGGCTCCCCAAGGCTCCCAGTGGGGGTGGGGCAACAGCTTGGGGGAAGGGCTCAGGCCCCTGGCTTAGGCGTCCCCCCTTCCCGGTTGTCCTGGCCGCAGTGACGTGGGAGCCAACGCCCTCGCTGAGGTTCCAGCAGCCGCCACCTGGAGGAGCTGGTCCCCTGGAGCCGGCGCTGCTGGTGCTGTACCCTGGGCCCGGCCCTGAGGTCACTGTCATAGGCGCCGGGCTGCAGGGGGCCCAGGTACCAGGGAGTTGACGGGCAGTTCGTGGTCCCCAGGAGCCCTCATGCGTGGCAGGGACAGGGAGGGGGATTAACCGCGGTTACTGGAAAGGCTCCGGGTGTCCAGGTGGGACCCATGGAGGGCAGTGGTAAGGGCAGGGGACAGAGCAGGACTGGCATCCCGCGCCCACACCCAGCAGCCTGCGCCCCCGTCTCCGCAGGGCCTCTGCCCGTCCCGGGACACCCGCTACCTGGCGCTGGCCGTGGACCGCCCGGCGGGGGCCTGGCGCGGCCCCGGGCTCGCCCTGACCCTGCGGCCCCGCGGAGACGGTAGGCCCGTGCGTAGAGGAACCGGGCGGGGGTGCGGGCTGCCCTCTGCTCAAGGCCGTTGAGCCCGCCCCGTGCTACCCCCGCAGGTGCCCCCCTGCGTACGGCCCAGCTGCAGGCGCTGCTGTTCGGCGCTGATCCCCGCTGCTTCACGCGGATGACCCCGGTCCTGCTCCTGCTGCTGCAGCAGCCCGGGCGCGCGCCCATGCCCGCGCACGGCCGTCTAGACACGGTGCCCTTCCCGCCGCCCAGGTGCGCACAGGCCCCGGCCCGGGGGCGCGGGGAGGGGGGGTCGGCGCGGCCTCGTGCCTGCTCAGACCCCCGGACTCTGCCTCGCAGGCCGTCCCCGGAGCCCGAGGAGCCGCCGCCCAGCGCCGACCCCTTCCTGGAGACGCTCACGCGCCTGGTGCGCGCGCTGCGGGGTCCCCCGACCCGGGCCTCGCCGCCACGTCTGGCCCTGGACCCGGGCGCGCTGGCC